ACGTTCTCTCGAGAGAACAGGCTAGGGTGAGAAGAGAGGGAAGAGTGGAGGCACAAGTTTGGAAGAATATCTACACACTCATCTCTCTTGAGTATCAAAGAAGAAGAAGAAGGAGCAAAGCATGGAGGTGGATCTTGTTAACACCTTGACTACCATAACCATGATGGGCTAGCTCTTCATTTAGGGCTTGGTTAAGCCCTAAGTCTCTTGTAATCTAAACCTTTGCAATTTCTATTTCTGGGGAGATTAATATATTGTTGTAGTTGATGTTGTGGTCTTGTGATTTCATACTTTGATGTTCCAAGATTTATGTTAATTAATCCTTCCATTATTTCTCTATCTTTGGTTGTATGTCTATGTGTGATCAATCTAGGGTTTATACTCATGATTAGATGTTAAAGATTAATTCTTTCATTAATTCTCTATGTTAATTTCATGTCTATGTGTTATTAATTGAGAATTATACTTGAAGACCATGACATGGTATTTAATGGATGCAATTTTTCACTAGTTTGATGGTTTATACTTTTTTCTTGATGGGTTGTGTTATGATTAGACAATTCATACTTGAAATTGATATTCCACACTTATTATATGCAATTTGTATCATCTTCTTGATTGTGGATTATATGCAAATGGTTAATGGATTTGTTTGGTTATGGTTTTGTCTTGATAGGTTGTACTACACCCTAGTTTACTTGTCATTAGGTAGACAATCTACACTTGATTAATCAATCCATCATCATGATTGAAATTGGTGTTATCACATTGATGTGTGCTCTCATTGGATGCATTTGTGGATTGGTGAGATAGGTTAAGCCTCAAAATTGGTGTGTTGTCATACACTTAGTTTATTTGTTGGTTAGGTAGGCAATGCATTACAAATGAAGTGGATGATCATGCTTACATATGCAAATTGTGCCATTGATTGTTGCTACATTTTAATTACAACAATGTTCTCCCTATTAATGGAAAGCAAGTGGTTAATTGCATGAGTTTAGTGGTGCTTCCAATAAACCTTAAGAATTTTCTTCTATCTCTTAAACCCCTAACTCTAACTTAGTTTATTTTCATTGCATTTTAATTTAATTGTTCACTAGCTTAATCAACCAACCATCTATTTTATTCTCTCTTTCTCTCTCTTATGGTAATCACTTGTTAAAACCAACTGTCTTATTTAAATCCAAGCCAAAGGTTTCTTAGGTTCGATCCCTTCTCACTTCATACTGCATAGTATAAGTGTCTAGCGGTTTATAAATGTAAACTATGATGCCCGCTTGATACCATTTCCAAAACCAAAGTGTTGTGCATTATTTTGTGACATGCTTGGGTCGTATCATAACTAAAAAAAAAAAAAAAACATTAAAAAAAAAAAAAACATTTGGGAGATCAATCCCATTCTTGAAATAAAAAAATCAAAAAAAAAATCAAAAATAAAAAATATGTGTTTCTAGTATGCCCTTCTGACTAGTTATGAATGTTTTCAGATTTTATCAAGGGTTTCATCTCATATCTCTTTGCAATGTATTATATATTATTTTGAATTGTATGAATTGTTTATCCCATGTGATATTTGATGTGAGTTTGCTAGTATGGTTATATAGATATGTTTTTGCATTCAAGTTTGGGGGAGACATCTTTCCTATTGGATCATTGCCGGACTTTATAGACTTCACCATCACGGTATACTCTTTCCATTATTTTTCATTGTTCTCATTGCACATTGAAGACAATGTACAGTTTAAGTTTGGGGGTAAGGTCATCATGATTCATTCTATTTAAGTTAAGCTTTAAATGCATGATGAGATTTGAGATGTGTTTGGCAATGATTTCGAACTTTTGAAGTATAGTTCCTTTGAAAAGCAAGTTGTTAGGGTCTAATACTTCTTGTATGCTCTAGGATGCCATTTAGGGGTAAATTTTTAATTTTTGATATCATGTTTGCTCTTGTGGTACACATCATCTTGTTGGTTGAAAATGCTTTGAGAGTTGATTCTAGAATTCTACATTGCACATGCGCACACTAGCATTCAATTTGTGGAGTACATGCTTAGTTGATTGTTGTCTCGGTTTATCCCAATTGAGCTAGTATGCTTTGAAAGCTTTCATTCTTGATAAAATGACCTTGTAAAGAAAAGAAATAAAAGCACTCACCAAAGGTGATGAATAGAAAAAAAAAAAAAAAAAAAAAAAAAAATTGCATTCTTTTAACATGTCAACTGATTAAAAAGGAAGACAAGGAAAGAATGTAAGATGTATGATTAGTTTGAGTTCGAAGCCTAACCATTCCGAGTCATTACGCCCTTAGGAGTGTCTTTACACTTAACGCCCTAAGACCATTTCGTTTGGTAGCCGTTGGCTTAACGCTTGTTACATGGGGTGATTAGAGAGCTTAAGGAACTTGGACATTGCATATGGTCATACATAAAAAAAAAAAATAATAATAATAATAATAAAAAAATGAAATCAATAAATAAATAAAAAAGAAAGAAAGAATGTTTGATTGAATAACAAGGTTCATTCAATGTCTTGATGTTTGGTACTATATCTGTATGCTAGTTTGATGGTAAGGCTATGCCAATACTTTGATTTGCTAGGATAGCAACACATTTTGATGCCGGTTCACTCAAAAAGGATGATAGAATTGATTCAATTTGCATGATTAATTGATTGATGTGTGGAGGACCATTTTTGCTTATATGATGTTGAAATGTTGATAATAGCTTAGAAATGGCAGAAATTTGCATACTTGAGGTAGTCTACTTTCAACACTTGTTTGATATGTGTCGTTACTTCTCAAGTAAGAAAGAGCTGTTGATGTTTGTGGGTACCATTTCTGAAAACCCTCACGAGACTTCACTCGTCCACTAAGGGTCACCTAGGGGTTTAAAAGGCTTGTTGCATATGCTAAATGCAACCGTCATCCCTACAAAAGTGGTGTTATCTTTATTTGTTTTCTTAGTTCATAGTTGTATATATGTTTATTTCATTTTCATGTTGTAGTTCATTGCTAGGGACTAGCAATATCTAAGTTTGGGGGCGTGATAAGTGCTTAAATGTTGCACATTTCAGCACCTAAGCTAGGGTATTTCAGTCTTTGCATCTATCTTAATTTCATGTTTTAGTCCTAATTTATGTTTATATGTATTTCAGGGGCAATAAAGTTAAAATGAGCTAAGAACGGTCCATTAAAGCCTTTTTGAAGTCAAGCAAAGATATTCAGAAAAAGTTCAGAAAATGATAAAAAGAGGTCGTAGCCCATTGCTCGTATAGTGTGTTTATTCTTCGAAAGCGTTCAATCTCGGGCCTTTGATGATGTTCCCAAAGATGAAGAAGCAAATCAATTAGCCCGAAGCCAAAATGGAGCTAAATAAGGCTTAAAGGAAATTTCCAACTTTGGGGGGATCGATCCCCTAGGGTGGGGGATCAATCCCAGGACTTGGCAACATTACAGATTTTTCTTATTGTTTGGACTTATTTTGTGAACTATTGGGCTTTAATAGGGTTATTACTTAAGGCCCAGTGAGCCATTAGTTTATGGTTAGTTTTTATTTTATTTAGGAGAGAGTTTGATTATTTTATTATTAAGTTTTTTTTTATTAAAAGTTTTTTTTATATTATTCTGTATCGATATTTTTATTCTCTCTGGAAAACACGAATAGAAAAAGCTAGGGTTCTTGAGAAAAGCTCAGAGAAGAAGAAGAGGAGCCAGATGAATCAAAGAATGGGGCTTGTTGACATCTTGCATCTATCAACCATGAGCAGCTGATTCTTCAACCTAGGGTTGGATAAACCCTAAGCATGTAACCTAATTCTTAACTCTTGACTTTTGGGGATTAATTTGTGTAATTTATGTTATAACCTTGATATATATATATTAATTCTTTCATTTGATTGTCTATGTCAATTTCATATGTCTTATATGTTTTTGAATGATATTGAATTTCTATACTTGATTTCTTTGTGACTTGAATCTTGTGATGGCTATACATTGTATTAATTAGATGTAATTGTGTTTTGATTTGATGGAAATTACTTTTATTAGATGGGTTGTACTACAAAATTAGGTTAATGTCTTGTCTAAACAGTTTAATTTCAGACTTAGTTAGTTTAATTTAAAGTTAATTAATTTAATTGTAATTTAATTCCTAGGTAAGTAAACAATCCATACTAGTGCTTGAAATCCATACTTATTGTCACAATTGCATTACCCTCTAGATTAATATGTGTTGAAATGGTAACTTTAATTGATTAATCATGCTTTGAATTGGTGAATTACACTACACTTAGTTTAATTGTCATTAGGTAGTTGATTCATGCTTGAAATTGATGGTTTATACTTTTTATTGCAATTATTAGCCACATTCTAGATTACACATTTTTATTCCTCAATTAGTTAAAAGTTAATGAGTTAGGGAATGTGCTTAGTGGTGAATCCTACACCCTAAGTCTCTTTCCAATCTTTTATACTCTACTCTTTATTTGCATTATTAAGTTTAAAATTAGTCTAATCACAAAACCAAACCTTTTTAGCAATCACATAAGCACTAAAGTAGAATTCAATTCTGAAAAACCTATAATTGTTTAGATCTCTTGGGACGATCCATGCTCACTTCATATTCCATAGTATAAGTGTTTAGTGGTTTTATAAATCTTAAAATATGGTGCCCACTTGACATTATTTCTAAACCTAAAGTGTTGTGTATTATTTTGTGCACACGCTCGGTCGCACCAGATATGCTAGTCGAACTGTTTGGACAGTTTATGGATTTTCGGGCCAAGCGACTCGTGTGGGTCCCACGTCGGAATTTTTTGGATTTTGAATTATTTTCTTAGTTGAAAAATAATTATCTTGGATGTCATTTACAAAATTCATGGGGGTGGAATGGTCATTTGATGATGTGATGGCATGGTTGTAGTTTAATGAAGAGGTGGGGGCATTTTGGTTATTTCCTTGGTCCACCTTTTGACCCTTTGTGAGTTTGTCACTTAAGCATGCACTTGGCAAGTTTCTAGCCACAATCTGTATAACTCCTCACGTAAAAGAGAGCTTCAGCTGATGGGTTCCTCATGTTAATTCCATTTTCTTCTTCCTTTAACCAATTTCGTCCTCCATTAGAGGGGTTTTTGACGCACTATTTAGAGAGACTTGTAGTGAGAGTTTGATGTTGAGGTGTGAATGAAAAATGACCTAGAGGGAATGAGGTTTCCATTGATATAGTATATGTGGTCATTCCTTAATCCATGGGTTTCAGAAAGTGCCTTGAAAAGAGGAGGATCTTAGTTGTGCTTCAATGGAGAGTTCTTCATCTTCATCATCTTGTTGGTGGGTTCGAGCTATCCTTGGAATAGTTTGGAGGTGTTTGTATCTAGGGTTTGAACTCCCTTGTGGTAGGATTGTCTAACCCTCAATTTCTTTGCCTTTAGTGAGTAATCTCTTTCAATTTAAGTTGTAAAGTGTATAAAAATGAAACTGAAGCATGTTGAAACTGTTTGGCTGAAATTACATGCTACTGTTTTGCTCAAATTCATGTAAATTCGTAATTTATTTTTTAGAGATGATTTGATATTATGGTAAGATTGTTAATTAGATTTCATTGAGAATTGGTTTCATTTAAATTGGTTGAGAAATGAATTTATTACAAATTTTTGAAGTTATAGTGTTCTTGCCGGAAATTCTGGGTTGGGGCAGATTTTTTTTCGAGTTTTCTCATCAAACCTGATTTAAATGGTAAGGGATATTGGTAAAGTAAGATTTTATCTTGAAAATATAGTCTTTAAAATTTCAATGGGCTTTGGATTCACTCAATTTGGATGAGAATTAAATTTTTTATGATTTTTCAAAGTTGGGAGCAACAGGCTGAAAATCAGTTTTCTGGGCAGCATTTATTTCGAATTTATGGGTCAAAACTGTTCCAATTGGGAAGGGATTTTGTTAAAATAAATTGACACATTCAAAGTACATTGTTTAAGATTTCATTAGGCTTTGGATTCACTCAATTTGGATGAGAAATAAATTTTTTATGATTTTTCAAAGTTGGAAGCAACAGGCTGAAAATCAGTTTTCTGGGCAGCATTTATTTCGAATTTATGGGTCAAAACTGTACCAATTGAGAAGGGATTTTGTTAAAATAAATTGACACATTTAAAGTACATTGTTAAGGTTTCATTAGGCTTTGGAATCACTCAATTTGATTTAGAATTGAAATTGTTATGAATTTTCAAAGATGGAGGTAACAAGCTGCGTATGAATTATTAACAACTAGTAGGAGTTGTTTTAACCCTCACACCCTTTGTTTCCTTGTGAACTAAATCTTTTAGATTGAACCACCATATGACTTGAATTAGGCTTTCTTTACAAGTATGTTGTGTACTAAAAATCTGAAATTTTGTAGCTTAGACAGAAATGATGTGTTATGTGTTTTAAATATAGAATTTGAGCTCTTAAAATGTTGTTGGTGTTTGTGTGCCTAAAACTGAAATTCTAGTAATCACAATGGTTGTATTGTTATTGTTTGACAAGCTGGAAATTATATATTTAGTTCACTTCAATTATGGGATGTTTTGTTATAAGTTTGGTGTTGTAATAGTGTTCAAAAATTGAATGATATATTGTCCTTGAAACATGCTGCTATGATAAATTTGCTGTCAAAGTGTGTCCATAGAATATGTTTTTGATGTGAGTAATGATGTGGTATTATAATATTATGAAGCATGTGACATTCATGCATATCATTGGGAAAGAATGAGAAAAATTGATTTGAAAGAAATGATATGGATTTTTGGGAATGAATTTTGAAAAGGATTTTGTGAAAAACCCGGCCGCCTAGGAATTGCCTAGGGACCGCGACATTAGTGAGGCCTAAAGGGGATTCGGGAAATCGCCCTAGTGTGGTTGTGTTACCTGGGCCCCAAATGACGCCATGGAGTTGCCATGGGTTAGGGACAGTGGCCAATTCTCCTCTCGTGCCGCCATGGAGTTGCCATGGGATGGGTTCACTAACGGTTTGGAAATGATGATGGAAATGGTTTTGGAAAAATGGGGAGCGACATCGCATGACATTATAACCATTGCATGGCATATCCATTCATGACTTGGTTTATAAATGTGATATTGTGGTTATTTTTCTCTCAGCATAGCATAGTACTAGCTAAGAAATTTATTAGACAGAATGTGGTAATTATGGAGTAATAGAGATGGATATTCTCAGTTTGTGGTTATGATTAGACATGAGTGGTTATCATTTTGTCTAGGTGCAGTAAATGATTAATACTAAAAGGTACCTTAGGTATTAATAAAGGGATAATCTTTTCACGGTACAGGGGCATTCCTTTAGACTAATGGTTGTGATAATGAGAAATGTGATTCCTTGTATAAAAAGTTGTAATAAGGGAAATGGTTTAGACTCTGTATACATAGTACTTCATATTCTTCTATGTTGACTGTTTTGTGAGACAGCATGGTGATGTGATAATTATTTTTTTCCCCGGATTTGCATGACTCCTTTTCTGATTCCTATTCTTTGTTTGGATTCATGGGTGTATTAAGGAGTGGTGGTTAGGCATTTCCTGCTGAGCTGTGGTTGCTCATTCCTATTATACATACATTTTTTTCAGGTTATGGACAAGAGGTCGTAGAGGGCATTCCTCCACAGCCAGGGACGGATGCTGGGTTTTATTTTGTTGTATATCTTTGTGTAAACAGAGAATGTATATTTTGAAACCAACATGTATATTTATAAATATTCTTCCAAACATATTTTGTTTAATTATTGTAATTAAAGGATTATGGGGTTTTACGTATGAAGCCTACTTTTATATTTTCAGATAATGGTGGACAGGGAAATGGATTTTGTGTGCGTGCGTTGGGACAGGGTACTTTATTTAGCATGACTTTTGAAATCAGGGGATTTTTTTTATTATCAGCCTTGAGTATTAAAGTTTTATCTAAAATTTTTGGACAGTGTTCCAGGGCTTGGTCAGACGTTTCTGAATATGAGTATTTCTTTGTTCTGTTTTATGTTCACAACCTGGATTACGATCTAGGGTCGTGACAAGAGTGGTATCAGAGCATGGTTCGTCTAACCTAGGGACGACGTGTAGTGGTCTTTCTACGATTAAGGGTTTTTTGGTTTGTATTGTCTCACATGCTTACGTGCTTATGTGTTTTTTTGTTTTGCAAGCATGTCTACTTGCTTACGTGGCTATGTGTTTATTTGGTTTGGGCTTTGCAAGCATGCTTATGTGCTTACGTAATAATTGTTTAATTGTTTAAAGATGAAGCATGCTATGTGTTTAACGACTTGTATCTATGTGAGTCAGTTTGGGACTGTGGATAGTGTCATTGTTATTGACTTGTATTCCGCTATAGTATGTCATCTCGTAAGAAAGGTCAGGCACTTAGAGGTCTGGGAAATAAGTGGTAGGACTGACGCTAGTAGCGTTGTTGTTTGTGGATGGCTTATCAGCATAAGTATGTGTGGGTATCATGGCATTTTGCATCGTTGTCTGATGTCCTCATTGGACACGACTTAGCTGGTATTGTGAGGTTCTACCAATGAGGATATAGTTTTGATGTGCACTGATTAGTGTTTAGCATATGTGGGTGTTTCATGCAGGTAATAACGGAACGTTCAGATGTGATTAGTGGTAAAGAGTCCAGAGCTGGATCTTGATGTTAGAAAAGTTTTGATAGCAGTTGATATTAGAATTGAGTCTTAGTGACTTGGGATTTATTAAAAGTGGGTCAGTGACAATGTAATTGTTGTTTGGGTATGGGATGGCCAAATGGACCGGCCGGACATTGTGGACCATACTCAGCTTTAAACGTAATATCAAGACACTGACAAGGATGACGATTGGTGTGTCATAGGAGACACTTACGGTTTTAGGAGACGTCATAGTTGTCTCAGGAAAATGGTATGCTATGGGACTGTATTAGGCACTGGTGATGCCACATTACATATAAGGACATTGTGGGCGGGCGATAGTTGCCAACTATGCTACCATACTGACGAGTATGTGTGGGCGGGCTCTAGACGCCGACGAGGCTACCGTTCTTATGAGTATATGTTGACAGACACTAGTCGCTAGTTAGACTAATAGATCATGGTAAGGTGTATTCTTTAATGATTATGATGGTTGAGGATTGACAGTATTTCATTGGTGTTATACTGGATTGGTGGATTGCCACATTGGTATTCGTGACAGGGATTGTGTTATGGATTTCTTAATTTTATAAAATGCCATGATTATGAATTCCTTGGTTGGAATATGGATAAGGATGGCGACGATAATAGAGTAATATGGTGATATTTTGGGTTATCATTTAATTGACTTGCATTTCGGTTGAATACCGGTTGTTAATAAGGATTGATTGATGCTAGAGATTGATTTTACCTTAACTGGTGATAAGAGTAGACGTCAGGAATGATGTTATGAGTATCTTGAAAGTTATGATTTGTGTTAGCTCGGTTTTGTGGGATTTAAATCCATTATTGCTTGAGGGCACAGACTTGTCAGGCTTTAGATTCGCATATTAGAGTCAGTTGATAGTAGATGCATTTTATCAAGAGAGTTTGTGTCCACTTTTCCTCGTTAGTATATGGAGAGTTGGAGGTGATTTTATAGGTTGTTGTATTGTTGTATGATGTGAATCCATAGGCTTTGCAGATTGTGTGGTGATGCTGGTTAAAGTTCTTGGTGAGTTCTGTGAGTGTGATAGGCACATCATCTTTTCTTTTTAAGGGGGGTAGATTTCGAGGATGAAATCTTTTTAAGAAGGGTAGACTGTGATGTCTATCACTTTTTCATTTTTTTCCTGGGCATTTCTCGTTTTGGCATAAGTGATTATTTCATTACCTCGGGTTACGTGTGTTTGGGATTGCATGTCACGAAGGTTTTATAGTGATTTAGAGTGTTTCATGGAGTTTGGAAAGTATGGATATGCTAGTTGAACCGTTTGGACAGTTTATGAATTTTCGGGCCGAGTGACTCGTGTGGGTCCCACGCCGGAATTTTTTGGATTTTGAATTATTTTCCTAATTGAAAAATAATTATTTTGGATGTCATTTAAAAAATTCATGAGGGTGGATTGGTCATTTGATTATGTGCTAGCAAGGTTGTAGTTTAATGAAGAGGTGGGGGCATTTTGGTTATTTCCTTGGTCCACCTTTTGACCCTTTATGAGTTTGACTCTTAAGCATGCACTTGGCAAGTTTCTAGCCACAATCGGTATGACTCATCACGTAGAAGAGAGCTTCAGCTGATGGGTTCCTCATGTTAATTCCATTTTCTTCTTCCTTTAACCAATTTCGTCCTCCATTAGAGGGGTTTTTGAAGCACCATTTAGAGAGACTTGTAGTGAGAGTTTGATGTTGAGGTGTGAATGAAAAATGACCTAGAGGGAATGAGGTTTCCATTGATATAGTATATGTGGTCATTCTTTAATCCATAGGTTTCAGAAAGTGCCTTGAAAAAAGGAGGATCTTAGTTGTGCTTCAATGGAGAGTTCTTCATCTTCATCATCTTGTTGGTGGGTTGGATCTATCCTTGGAATAGCTTGGAGGTCTTTGTTCCTAGGGTTTGAACTCCCTTGAGGTTGGATTGTCTAAGCCTCAATTCCTTTGCCTTTAGTGAGTTAATCTCTTTCAATTTAAGTTGTAAAATGTATAAAAATGAAACTGAAGCAATTTGAAACTGTTTGGCTGAAATTACATGCTATTGTTTTGCTCAAATTCATGTAAATTTGTAATTTATCTTTTAGAGATAATTTGATATTATGATAGTATAGTTAATTATCTTTCATTGAGAATTGGTTTCATTTAAATTGGCTAAGAAATGAATTTATTACGAATTTTTGAAGTTATAGTGTTCTTGCTGGAAATTCTGAGTTGGGGCAGATTTTTTTTCCGAGTTTTCTCATCAAACCTTATTTAAATGGTAAGGGATGTTGGTGAAGTAAGATTTTATCTTGAAAATATAGTCTTTAAAATTTCAATGGGCTTTAGATTCACTCAATTTGGATGAGAATTGAATTTTTTATGATTTTTCAAAGTTGGAAGCAACAGGCTGAAAATCAGTTTTCTGGGCAGCATTTATTCCAAATTTATGGGTCAAAACTGTTCCAATTGGGAAGGGATTTTGTTAAACTAAATTGACAAATTCAAAGTACATTGTTTAAGCTTTCATTAGCCTTTGGATTCACTCAATTTGGATAAGAATTGAATTTTTTATGATTTTTCAAAGTTGGAAGCAACGGGCTGAAAATCAGTTTTCTGGGCAGCATTTATTTCGAATTTATGGGTCAAAACTGTTCCAATTGGGAAGGGATTTTGTTAAACTAAATAGACACATTCAAAGTACATTGTTTAAGCTTTCATTAGGCTTTGGAATCACTCAATTTGATTTAGAATTGAAATTGTTATGAATTTTCAAAGATGGAGGTAACAAGCTGCGTATGAATTGTTAACAACTAGTAGGAGTTGTTTTAACCCTCACACTCTTTGTTTCCTTGTGAACTAAATCTTTTAAATTGAACCACCATATGACTTGAATTAGGCTTTCTTTACAAGTATGTTGTGTTATAAAAATCAGAAATTTTGTAACTTAGACAGAAATGATGTGTTATGTGTTTTAAATATAGAATTTGAGCTTTTAAAATGTTGTTGGTGTTTGTGTGCCTAAAACTGAAATTCTAGCAATCACAATGGTTGTATTGTTATTGTTTGACAAGCTGGAAATTATATATTTAGTTCACTTCAATTATCGGCTGTTTTGTTATAAGTTTGGTATTGTAATAGTGTTCAAAAATTGAATGATATATTGTCCTTGAAACATATGTCCATAGAATATGTTTTTGATGTGAGTAATGATGTGGTATTATAATATTGTGAAGCATGTGACATTCATGCATATCATTGGGAAAGAATGGGAAAAATTGATTTGAAAGAAATGATATGAATTTTTGGGAATGAATTTTGAAAAGGATTTTGTGAAAAACCCGGCCGCCTAGGTGTTGCCTAGGGACCGCGGCGTTAGTGAGGTCTAGAGGGAACTAGGGAAATCGCCCTTGTGTGGTTGTATTACCTAGGCCCCAAATGACGCCATGGAGTTGCTATGCGTCAGGGACTGTGGCCAATCCTCCTCTCGTGCCGCCATGGAGTTGCCATGGGACGGGTTCAATAACGGTTTGAAAATGATGATGGAAATGGTTTTGGAATAATGGGGAGCGACATCGCATGACATTACAACCATTGCATGGCATATCCGTTCATGACATAGTACTAGCTAAGAAATTTATTGGAAAGAATGTGGTAATTATGGAGTAATCGAGATGGATATTCTCAGTTTGTGGTTATGATTAGACATGAATAGTTATCCTTTTGTCTAGATGCAGTAAATCATTAATACTAAAAGGTTCCTTAGGTATTAATAAAGGGATAGTCTTTTCACGGTATAGGGGCATTCCTTTAGACTGATGGTTGTGATAATGAGAAATGTGATTCCTTGTATAGAAAGTTGTAATAAGGGAAATGGTTTAGACTCTATGTACATAGTACTTCATATTCTTCTGTATTGACTGTTTTATGAGACAACATGATGATGTGATAATTATTTTTTTCCTCGGATTTGCATGACTCCGTTTCTGATTCCTATTCTTTGTTTGGATTCATGGGGGTATTAAGGAGTGGTGGTTAGGCATTTCCTGCTGAACTGAGGTTGCTCATTCCTATTATACATACATTTTTTTCAGGTTATGGACAAGAGGTCGTGGAGGGCATTCCTCCACAGCTATGGACGGATGTTGGGTTTTATTTTGTTGTATATCTTTGTGTAAATAGAGAATGTATATTTTGAAACCAACATGTATATTTATAAATATTCTTCCAAACAGATTTTGTTTAATTATTGTAATTAAAGTATTATGGGGTTTTACGTATGAAGCCTACTTTTATATTTTTAGACAATGTGTGGACAGGGAAATGGATTTTGTGTGTGTGTGTTAGGATAGGGTACTTTATTTAGCATGACTTTTGAAACCAAGGGATTTTTTTAATTATCATCCTTGAGTATTAAAGTTTTATCTAAAATTTTTGGACACTGTTGCAGGGCTCGGTCAGACGTTTCTGAATATGAGTATTTCTTTATTCTGTTTTATGTTCACAACCTGGATTACGGTCTACTGTCGTGATAATACCCTAGAATTTCGAAATTGCAAGCTTAGCCAAACAAGAAATTGTTTACATCAACGTGAAGGTCTCGCCAAGCTCTTCGAATTGCCGTAAACGGCTTCCAAAAATTCCAAGTAGTGAAGGAGGAATCAAGTTCTAAAGTTTTGATTCAAAAAGAAAAAGAAAAAGCAAAGTAAAGGGGGTGAGAGAGAGAACCAGCGGGGAGAGCGAAAGGGAAGCAAGAAATGAGGCCTAAATGCCTTTTGGTTCAATCTTTAATATGATGTGTGGGCCCCACCAAAAATTCAATTTATTTTCCCTTTTATTTTTAGTTTCATTATACACCATATATATATATATATATATATATATATATATATACTTATACACATTAATTCACAATAACTTAAAACACATTAAATAAAATAAATATGATGCAAATGAATCCAACCAAGATCCCGTGATGCAATAATTCTTGTAGCGGGTCCCACACGGAACCGTCCGGTCCGAAAAATGAAAAAAATGCAAAAATGGCAACCTTGGCATTTCAAAGAGTCCTAGACTCAATGAAATGTCCTAACCTACTCTCGAACACAACCGGTACACCCCACAGTGTTTGGCACGTAAAACGAGAAAAGACAAAATGCCCTTGCATGGACGAAAAATTTTAGAAATTGGAAAATGACGAAAATTTGACACGATACAATCTATACTCCTTAAAGAGATTTCATCCTCGAAATCTACCTTTCTGATGGAGAAGGCCCACAAACACACATTTCCTGAGAATACCTCACAAACCCCGAGACTATGAACTCACCGACATTATTGCCTTTGACACCGGACGTCACCAGTCAATCAGACTCCACTGCCACCAAAACCTAATGTGGTTACCTATCTCTCTCTTTATTGAAACACAAGACTAATAAGACCTTACGCCTGACTCAAAACAGACATCAGTCTATTCTACACAGTCACAAAAGGCTCCAAAGCCCGAGAAAAGAATAGTCACTAGATCACCGAAAAAACGATATCTAACCTTAACACATCCTTTAAAAGACATACTAAACCCCAAACAAGGAATCCTGTCCAACTCTTAATCAATCTCAATTCTAATCTACACATCCTTGACAGACCAAACACTTGTTATCTAATACGTAACCACACCACCACATAACTGTACTAATGACTACTAATTACACTATATGATAATCATTACTCTTAATAACTTCAAGATGATTAAACAATGAGTCCCCCAATGACTGCATAAACATTAGTCACTAAATAAGTAAAATGCGCCATCTTGCACCCAGGGCACAAATCCTCAAAACAAAATCCTTAATAATCAAACGGATTGGACACTTGTTCCCACCTAGCATACCTCGTCATCCGAGACAAATCGCCTGAATTCACACCCCTCCACACTGACACACACCCAACACTATACTCTCACTATTCGTGTCAACATAAACAATCATTGACCTTTGACCCGACATCGTGCTAAAAAGGAATTGATTTAAGACAAATGGTTGGCCTGGCCATTGATGAGCGTTGAAAGGTGCGCATTTAAAACCCTTAAGCTTAGGTATTCTAGAACCTTTATCTATCTTACTTTCCCATTTTAGACTGATTTTGTATTATTTTCATTTTCAGGTACTTATCCCCAAAATAAACTAACTCAGCTAAATAAGAGCATAATTGAAGCAATCTTAAGATGAATCAAAGAAGGGAGCAAAGTGGGAGCAAAAGGAAGCAAGTGGTGGAAATTCAGCAAGTTTAATCGATCTCAGGAAATATTCGATCGATCCAACTTTGATCGATTTCAGCACTTCAAGATGGATCTGAATTATTTTGTCCTTATCCAAAGATCCCACAAAGTTCGATCGATCCAATTTTCTTCCGATCAATCGAAAATATTCCATCTTATCCAGTTATACCGCCATACCTACCACTTCTGTCCCTTTCCTAAAAATACCAAAATATCTCAGATTTGTCTTTATCCAAAAAGGCGCTGCCATAGAGGATCGATCCAGCTTAAGTTCGATGGATCTCCGCCATGTTCGATCGATCCCAGAGAATGTTCGACCGATCAAACTTCCCCAAGTGCGAGAAAATTCAATTTCCAGCTCATTAAAAGTTGTCTCATATCCAATCATTGGGAGGAATATTGGTGTACGAGCCCAGGTCATTGGGGGTGACATTTTAACCTACCTATATAAGGAATATGAGCCATTCTTGAGAGCATAGATAGACCTATACCTAGAGAGACTTTTGACACAATTGATATATCATTCTTAGTGAGGAAAAAAAGAAGAGAGGAGGCTAGAGACACAAGCTTGGAGTTCTTCCATCAACCAAGAAGAGGAGAAATCTCTACCATGGAATTAGCCCTTGAGGGTTGGAGGACACCATCTATAAGTGGCTAGACATTCTCTTGGGGTTAGAGTTAGCCCTAAGCATGCTTTCTACATCTTGATTTATGTATTTTTGAGGGGATTTGTATTGTGATATATGTTTTGACATTTTTATATACATAAATCTTGTTTATTCAATGATTTGTGTGGTTTAATACTTCCAATTGATCATTTCATTCTATCCATATGTTTATGTATGCTAGAATAGATGTTCATGTGTTTGTCTCTAGTTTTTGTGTTATTAATGCATGTTTATGTGTATTGATGCTATAGATCTAGAGATTGTCAAGACATAGTGCTTAATAGAATGCTCTTGTAGTTTATTTGATGGTTCATACTCATTTCTTGATGGATTGTGCCTCTCCCTTAGTTTAATTAGTTTAATTTCATGTCATTAGCTTAATTGTAGTGTAGTTGTAGTTTAGATGTTAAATGGGAGGACAATCCATGCTTATTGTTTGATGTTCCATACTTATAAAAACAAGTAGCATATGTCTCTAACCTTGTGATGTGTTTGGATTGTGAGCCTAAAGAAAGGATTAATAGCTTAATTTGATATATTGTGCTACCCACCATGTTGCTTAGACTATATATTTAATTAGTCATCCATGCTTGTTGAAACAACCACACACACACACACACACTATTATTGCAATACATGTTTTCCCCCTCATTAATCATTCATTAAGGGTGTAGAAAGGTTATGCTTAGTGGTGATCTCTAAACCCCAAGATCTCTCTCTCTTATTTTCTCTCTATTGCATTTAATTGTTTACTTTAGTTTAAATTGCATTTTAGTATAATTCAACCACCAACCAATCTTTTGAACACTCGACCTACTAACCCTAATCTCGATTCCACAATCTAATATGACCCACCAATCCCTTGGGATGATCCCTACTTGCCATAACTATATTTTTAGTGAAAGGTACTAGTGGCAAATTATAAATGTAAAACTTGGCCACTCATCATAGTCTAACATCTCTTTTGCAAGCTTTGGGGTGCAACGCGGCAAAGCACACCAGTAATCCTTATCCTCGATCCGATCTCAGCACAGATGTCATTCTTGTCCTCAGGTCCACACCTCAAATACAATCGCACATAGTCCACAAAACAGCAATAAGATCCACTCACTATCAATTCATCACTTTACATAACTTCAACAACTATACAGTCATATACCTATTCTGATAACTTCAACAATGAAATCCACTCATTATGCCATAGGAGCAGTTTTGGGATAAAGAGTAGGAAAGTTTCCATGTGATATATACTATGCAAGCAAACCTTTCTCGGGAGCTCAATTGAACTACTCCACTACCGAGAAAGAGGTATTTGCCGTAGTAAATGCCCTTGATAAATTTTGGTCCTATCTCTTAGGGTCTAAGGTTGTTGTATATTCTGATCATGCTGCCTTGAGACATCTTTTGACAAAGAAAGAAACACAACCTAGATTGAGTAGATGGATTTTGTTTCTTCAGGAATTCAATTTTGAAATCTTTTTTTTTTTTTTGGTTAAAGATTCGATTTTGAAATTAAGGATAAGAAAGGCACAGAAAATGTGGTTGCCGATCATCTTTCAAGATTATTGATAGAACCTTCCCCTAGCCCATTAATTCATGATTCTTTTCCGGATGAACAGCTCTTTCAAATTTCCAATGGACAAATGCCTTGGTTTGCCGACATTGTGAATTATTTGGCAATTGGCAAGCTTCCAACTTCTTAGTTAAAGAACGAGAAGAATCGTTTCTTTGCCAACATCCAGAATTATTATTGGGAAGACCTTGTCTTGTACCGTTATTGTCCAGATAAAATTGTGAGGAGATGTATTCCAGAGAGCAAAATTCCAAGTGTTCTTGTGTTTTGTCATACGCTTGCATGTGGTGGGCATTTTAGTGCAAAGAAGACCGTCTTGATGGTTCTTCAAAATGGGTTCTTTTGGCCCACTATCCATAGAGATGCTTATAATTTTTACAAGTCGTGTGAGAGATGTCAAAAGATGGGATCAATGTCAAGAAGAGATATAATACCATTGACCAATATCCTTGTAGAAATCTTTGACATATGGGGCATTGATTTTATGGGTCCATTTCCTATGTGCTATGGTTTTGAATATATTCTCCTTGCCGTTGATTATGTTTTCAAGTGGGTGGAAGCTTGTGTTACCAAAACAAATGACCATTCTATGGTTATTCAATTCATCAAATCCAATATCTTTGCTCGTTTTGGGTATGCCTAGGGCTATGATAAGTGACGGAGGAAAGCATTTTTGTAACCAATTCTTAAGTCATTTATTTCTTAAGTACTGCGTTATTCATAAAGTGGTCACTCCTTACCACCCTCAAACAAGTGGACAAGTAGA